CCGGCCCCATAGTGGCCGTCTGGGTTGCTATGGCGATTGTTACGCCACTGGTACCTGCCAGACAATAGGGGAAAGAACTTTTTTTGGCTAACTTTCCTTGCACGTGACTGGGCATTCGAACTGAACAGGTCAACCAGACCACCCAAAGTAGGTACAAGCCAACAAGGGAAAAATGTATAAACTCCGACGGTGTTATAAAACACATGATGAAAAGAGCGACGTCACAAAGTATGATGCAGAATGGCGGCCATCTTTGTACACCAACTTGTACTGTTACTGTAAGGTCCACCTTAACGAGCGGGCTTTTGGACGTCCAGTAGAGGTGCCATGTGTCCTGGACGGCAGTTCACGGACTTTGTTATGGAGGCCACAATATAACGAGACTTACAACGTTGGAGAGAACCTGTCCGCTTGCCTACTAATAAGCGTTCCGCTGAGACGGTTAAACGGAGCAACGAATCCAAAAACGTGATCCTGCAGTCTCCAGCGAAAATGTCTAATAATCTCCTCAGCCCGAAGAACGATCTCCAAAATAATACGGCAATGGAACTTTTCGGAGGCCAAATAAGGAGAGGTTAACACTGGACTCCGAAAATGTATTGCTTTCTCTCCATAGTGAAAAATAAATAACTGGGGAGCCAACTGAGACCTTCAGTATGGCCTGGTGGGTAGGGCCGGGACAAGGACTAATGTGAGGATATGTCACTGCTGGTGGTCTCTGAGAGATGCAAGAAGCCAGTCCATTGAGTTGCCTAGGTTGAGATGTTGTCATCAGTGTTTTGCAGGCAGGAGGAGGCATTTCCACAGTCTCCCCTACCCCAGTGATCAGTCTGCTGCAGGCAGGAGGAAGCATTTTCACAGTCTCCTCTCCCCCCAGTGATCAGTTTGCTGCAGGCAGGAGGAAGCATTTGCACAGTCTCCCCTCCCCCCCAGTGATCAGTTTGCTGCAGGCAGGAGGAAGCATTTCTTCAGTCTCCTCTCCCCCCAGTGATCAGTCTGCTGCAGGCAGGAGGAAGCATTTCCTCAGTCCTCTCCTCCAATGATCAGACTGCAACATTGTAACTTTGTAGCACATCATAAGCTGAGAGGCTGCAGGAGAGACTGACATGTGTCAGATATCTGTGAAAACACAGCCAGTCACCAGGATTTACATGACTGTGCCATCTCTGAGCCGGCATCTCAGCCCGGGAGGTAGATGGTGACCCTGGGTGATGCCTGAACATAGATGGCAGCAGCCTTGCAAAGAAAAAAAGCAGATGGCGGCATCGTCATGGGGATTCCTGTGAACTCTACGAGAGGTGATGAATAGGTGGAAGTTTTACACGCACTCACTACTTCGCATATATCTGTAGACAGGTCCACTTTAATGCCAAATCTTGGCACTCCAATACGTGAAAGGCGATGGCGGAAGATAACGGCGCAGGGCTGGCAGGCCGGAGGATTTGTGTTGGGCATTAGTCCGGCATCGATATCTAAATTCAGAGCAGATTATGCGTATTTGTTTCGTGGCCGGAGCGCGGGGGTTTCCGGCCCTCCCAAGCTGCCGGGCCTCCCATTCTGCGTCAGGGCGCTGAGTGTTTTCCTATTGATGTCGGTCGATTTGTAGAAGGCCCTGGGCTGGATACGTCTCATCACCTAAATATTTCAAACAGTACGAGCGATGTCAGCTGCCAGCAACCACTCATTTAACCCTTCCAAAAAGTCATTTGTTGAAGGATTTTTAAAGGCCGTCTCCAATTCAGTAGATCGGGAGGTGAGCGAACACATACCGGCGTTCGCTCACCTCTCGATCCTGTCACGGCTCTGCTTTTTCTGTATTGGAATCTGAACCTGACTCCTTCCTACTAATTGAGGATAAGGGGAAAAAATAAATAAATAAAACGCACTTCAATCAATTCAATTAGCCGCCGAGCGTGCCAAATGTTTGGAGGAAGAACACGCCTCATTTTTTTTTTCTGAGAGATAATATATTTTTACAAAGGGCTTGGCATGGAGAAGACGTCCTTTGAAAATGACATAAAACGTAGTCAGGAACTGAAAAAGCAATTAGATTTTATTCGACGATCCTTCTTTCTACTATTTATATTGGCCGCGGTCGCCAAAGACACGAAAAAAAGACGACCTCTGTAGTAAGATTTTTTTTTTTTTACAATGAGATCTGCTCCCCCCCCCCATTTCCTGGCCAGAATCTCTTAGCAAGAGCTCTTAGCAACCTGTGACACTCTGGTCGGCATCCCGCCCCCAACTTGCTGATGCCACTGGTTGCCCGGGGTTGAGTCGGACGCTCTGGCTGGTTTTCCACCCAGCCCCCGGGCAACCAAAGAGTAGTGAACAAGAAAATGGGCGCCTTCCACAGTGAATTCAATATTTTTCCCGAATTACCACTATTTTCCAGAAAAATTATATATGTCATAGGCTAGCTCCCAAACTTATTGAAGAAGCTCTTGGCGAAACGGGTGGAAGGCTGGACTCGCTACACATTAACGCATGAAACAAAGAGAAACGTTATTGATAACAAAAGTGATTTATTGACATTGTTAAAAAGATAAGCAGCTCATTAACTTGAGAAGATTGCCTGTGTGATCCAGAGGGGGGCGCTACGCCTTGGTATCACGTACCTGGCTGGAGACTGGTTGGATGACCCTCGCACCTTGTGTCCCCCAAACTCTGAGGATGGGAAGAGAGCCTGAGAAACAGCAAGTAGCACGGGTGCCAGTGGATGGGGCAACCCCCGTGATGGGCAGAAGTCCAGGATCAGGATCGGGTAGAGCAGAGACGAGGTCACGCCGGGCAGGCAGCAGGGTACCAGAGCAATAGGCAGAATCAAGGTCAGGCAAGCCAGGGGGTCACACCAGTCAGGCAGCGAAGTACAAGGGATGAGGCAGAGGCAAGGTCCAGTAACATTTCCAAGGTCAGAAGGCAGGCAGCAATCAGGAGCAGGCAGGTTCAATCCGGATCATGACACAGGAGCAGTAATCAGGCAGAACAAACAGGATCACAAGGACAAGCTGAAAGACCATCCAGCAACTAAGCAGAGGTCACGCTTGCTTTAAATAGGAAAACCAATTTAGAGGTACTGCATCACTTCCTGTGCACCAAGATTAGCATGCCTGAACGCGTACGTCCCGATGCACGCGCATGCGCCCGTTTTCCTAGAGTAGGAAAAATGGGACCACGCACATGCGGAGTAGATAGACCTGGTTACCTTACACTTGGGATGAGTTCTCGCTTTTTGGAATACGTTCTTACTTTGATTTTATATGTTTGAAAATCATGTCATTTTAATAAACATTTGTCAAAAAAATGATAGATTTGATTAGGGATATTTTGTATGCG